ATGTTCAGACCTTGGCCAATCAATTCGTGAGGTTGGATGTTTCTGAGCCCAGTCGTGTGTTAGCTTGCACGGTCGCTCGTTCTTCATTATTGGAGCGTATCCGTGATCGGCAGTATGATGATCCCCATTTATGTGTCCTTAGAGACACGGTGCAGCACAGAGGTGCCAAGCAGGTTACCTTAGATGATGATGGAGTTTTGAGATTGCAGGGTCGAGTTTGTGTGCCTAATGTGGATGGGCTTCGGGAGTTTATTTTAGAAGAGGCCCATAGCTCCAGGTACTCTATTCATCCGGGCGCCGCGAAGATGTATCAGGATTTGCGGCAGCATTATTGGTGGCGGAGAATGAATAAAGATATTATTACATATGTGGCTCGGTGTTTGAATTGTCAGCGGGTTAAGTATGAGCATCAGATGCCCGGTGGTTCATTTCAGAGGATTGAGCTTCCCGAATGGAAGTGGGAGCGGATCACTATGGATTTCATTGTTGGGCTCCCGCAGACTCGAAAAAAGTTTGACGCAGTATGGGTCATTGTTGATAGGCTGACCAAGTCAGCGCATTTAATTCCTGTGGCAGTCTCCTATTCTTCTGAGAGGTTAGCTGAGATCTATATCCGGGAGATTATTCGCCTTCATGGTGTGCCCGTGTCTTTCATTTCAGACCGAGGTACGCAGTTTGCCTCACATTTCTGGAGAGCAATTCAGTGAGAGTTGGGCACACGGATTGAGTTGAGCACAGCATTTCATCCTCAGACGGACGGGCAGTCCGAGCGGACCATTCAGATTTTGGAGGATATGCTCCGAGCTTGTGTCATTGACTTGGGAGGCTCGTGGGATCAGTTTTTTCCTTTAGCAGAGTTCGCCTATAACAACAGCTACCAGTCGAGTATTCAGATGGCTCCTTATGAGGCTTTATATGGTAGGTAGTGTCGGTCTCCGGTTGGATGGTTTGAGCCAGGAGAGGCTCGGTTGTTGGGTACGGATCTGGTTCAGGATGCCTTGGACAAGGTCAGGATTATTCAGGATAGGCTTCGTACAGCTTAGTCCAGGCAAAAGAGCTATGCCGACCGCAAGGTTCGAGATTTGGCTTTCATGGTCGGTGAGCGGGTATTGCTTCGAGTGTCGCCTATGAAGGGCGTGATGAGATTTGGGAAGAAGGGCAAGCTTAGCCCTAGGTTCATTGGCCCGTTTGAGATTCTTGATCGAGTGGGAGAGGTGGCTTATAGACTTGCATTGCCGCCGAGCTTATCAGTCGTGCATCCAGTGTTTCATGTGTCCATGCTTCGGAAGTATCACGGTGATCCATCCCACGTGTTAGATTTCACCACCGTCCAGTTGGACAAGGGCTTGTCCTATGAGGATGAGCCGGTAGCTATTCTAGACCGGCAGGTTCGTCAGCTGAGATCGAAGAGTTTTCCTTCTGTTCGTGTTTAGTGGAGAGGTCAGCCTGCTGAGGCATCGACCTGGGAGTCCGAGTCCGATATGCGGAGCCGTTATCCCCATCTTTTCCCCGACTCAGGTACTTCCTTCTTCTGTCCGTTCGAGGACGAACAGTTGTTTTAGAGGTGGAGAATGTGATGACCTTTTTAGGTCATCACTTGTTTTTAAATTAAATTCTACGTTTTGAGGCCTTAAAAACCTCTTTCAGCATCACCTCGATTTGCGTGTGCAGTTGGACGCGTAGCCGGAAAGTCTATATGTAAAAATCTATGAAAAATGATAAAATTTGGCTTTAAAATGAATTAAGATGACTTTGGTCAATATTTTGGGTAAACGGACCTGGACCCGTGATTTGACGCTCCCGGAGGGTCCGTAGAAAAATATGGGACTTGGGCGTATGCCCGAAATCGAATTCCAAGGTCCCAAGCCCGAGAAATAAATTTTTAAAGAAAATTATTTTCTAAAATTATTTATGAGATTTGGAAATGAATGTGATTAGAACTTGATGGTATCGGGCCCGTATTTTAGTTTCGGCGCCCGGTACAGGTCTTATATGTGATTTAAGATAAGTCTAAGAAACTTGGTAAGGAACGGACTTGAAACGACGTGAATCAGATCGTTTTTGAGAAAATTGGAAATTTGAAGTTCTTAAGAAATTTCATAATTTTGATGCTAAATTTATAGTTGTTGATGTTATTTTAGTGATTTGAATGCACGAGTGAGTCCGTACGTTGTTTTTAGGTTGGTGTACATGTTTGGTTTGGAGTCCCGAGGGCTCGGGTGAGTTTTGGATAGGCCACGGGGTGGATTTTGGACTTGATGAATTGCAGGTTTTATAGCTGGTGTGTTCCAGGCCTGCAAGCTTCGCATTTGCGAAGCCTGGCTCGCATATGCGATATCGCAAATGTGAGGGCCTTGTCGCAATTGCAAAAGCAGCCTAGGCCAGTTCCATCTCGCAAATGCGAGATTATCTTCGCAAATGCGATACACCCCTTTTGGGCCTGTTATCGCAAATGCGATCCCTTGTTCGCATTTCCCAAATCGCAATTGCGAGAACCCCCTTCGCAAATGCGAACATAGCAGAGGTCGAGGTTCGCAATTGAGAACCCTGTTCGCAATTCCCATATTTGCAACCTGCAATTTTTATACTTAGCCGAAATCTCCCATTTTTCACATCTTTTCAAAACATAAACTCCCTAGGGCGATTTTTCAAGAATAACTCTTCTTCCAAATCGATTGTAAGTCAATTTTAACTCGTTTCCTTCAATCATTAACATCTTTTAACATGATTTCAACTTAAGATCAATGATTTTCATGGGGAAAATTGGGTGTTTTGGGTAGAACCTAGGTTTTTCAAAATTGGGGATTTGGACCTCAATTTGAGGTCCGATTTCAAAACAAATTATATGTTTGGGTTCGTGGGGGAATGGGTAATCGGGTTTTGGTTCGAAACTCGGGTTTTGACCAGGTGGGTCCGGGGGCGATTTTTGACCTTTTGGGTAAAACTTTGTAAAATTTATTTTCATGCATTGGAATTGATTCATTTAGCGTTTGTTGATATAATTAAGTAACTTGTAACTAGATACGAGCGAATTGGTGGTGGAATCAAGGGGTAAAGCGATAATTAAGACGTGAATTGTGTTTGTGGCATCGAGGTAAGTGTTTGGTCTAACCTTAGCTTGAGGGATTAGGAGTCGAGTCCTAATTGCTATGTGGTAATTGTTGAGTACGACGTATAGGCATGGTGACGAGTATCTATACGTTGGTGTCTAGCATGACCGTGAGTCTTATAATGTGATTATCATGACTTCGTTGTATTATTCATGCTTTGGTGATGATTTTTATTTGTTGGGCAATGTTTGTGGAAATAATTGTGAAGTATGAACATTGAGGAGCGTTGGCTCAAGTTGTATAACGAATTGTGAAATTATGAGTGGTAATTGAACCCTTTGGAGCATTGGCTCAAGTTGTAAGTGAGTTGTGAAGTAAAAGTGAAAAAGAGAAAAGAATCATTATATTGACTCCCTTGCCGGGATATTGTTGTTGTTGTTTTGAGGTTGTCCCTTGCCGGGACTTGTTGTTGAATTATTGTTCCCTTACCGAGATTCTTATTGCAAATTTCATTCATTTCCTTGCCTTATTATTTGTGATTGTTGTTTGGGTGAGGAAGAGAGTTAAAGCACGAAAGGTGATGCCGTGCATTATTTCGGTAAAAAAGTGTTAAAGCACGAAGGATGATGTCGTGTATGATTTTGTGAGGAAAGAGTGTAAAGCACGAAGGGTGATGCCGTGCCGCACGATGTACCATTCCGTGCCGATTATATTGATTATATGGTGAGGACGAGAGTAAAAGCACGAAGGGTATGCCGTGCACATTTTCATTACTTGATTGTTTTGGTGAGGACGAGAGTAAAAAGCACGAAGGGTGATGCCGTGCACTTATTATTTTCTGGTTCTCTGTTGATATCCGAGATATATTATTTCTTCCATTTACCTGTTGTCTTTCTATTCTGAATTGATATCTCCCCCGCAGCATGCTACCCCTCCCATACTTGACTGTTTATTTCTGTACTTCTTTTTTCGCTGTATATAGTTGAATTGCACAGGTTTATTTGGTAGTCTGGTCCTAGCCTCGTCACTACTTCGCCGAGGTTAGGCTAGGCACTTACCAGCACATGGGGTCGGTTGTGCTGATACTACGCTCTGCACTCTTTTGTGCAGATCCCAGTGCTGTTGGCTTTGGACCGTAGATTGGGTGGCTACCTTCAGTCCACGCGGAGATCCAAGACGTCCGCAGGGCGTCTCCTCTATCCTTTACTTCCTGTTTCATTTCTTTGATTCAAAAACAGTGTATCTTTTATTTTCAGACTTTGTATTTAGCACTCTTAGATCGTCTGTGGTACTGTGACACCAGTTCTGGGTGATTAAGGCTTAAACAGTTGTATTGGATTCATATTTCAGATATTTCACTACATTTCTTCCGCTTATTGAAATTTTCGCTATTTTCACATTATTGCTTTATAAATTCTAAAAAGGTATAAAAATGGATAAAGGTAATCTGTTCAATAATTGGCTTGCCTAGCTCACATTAGTAGGCGCCATGATGACTCCCGAGGGTAGGAAATCCGGGTCGTGACAGTATAAGTTAATTTATGTTCAAAAAATTCATAACCTAATTATTTGTTGGAAAAATGACACTGTATATCCGTTGTAAAAATTATAGCCGAAAAAATATATAAAATTTGTATATATACATTTTGTGTAACCCCTTTTTTTTATGAAGAAGCTATATATGAAAAGATTTTTAAAACAGAGACAAAACATAAGACGTGCCATTAAATTTTATGCAATAAAGTTATAACAAACCTAGTTTTATATCAACACGTGGGAGAATAGGCCAGTGAGGTGGTAGGGGAAATTAGGCATATGAGGAACATGTTTCATATGACTAAATCACATACAGAGTGTTCAATTTGCTCTTGACTTAGCTTGTAGCAGCCCCAATATGATGTTTTTTGTTCTACCAAAAAAAATTGTTTTTCTTGGATTTTCAAAATATATAAATACCTTTTGAGATCATATTCCCTACTCTTTCTAGCTCTACTTGTTCTTCGGTGCAAGTAATTGCTGCCATCTACCACCATAAGCTAAGCAATTCCCCCACATTGTAAAAACTTTGGGAAAAAGTCTTAATTTCTTCTTCAATTTATAGGCAATATGAAGACATAAGAATTGAAAAAGTAGAAAGGAAAACAATAGGCATAAAGATGAAGCACAGAATTGGCCTTCAACTTTTCCCTCTATTGTCGTCTTCTTCTTCTTCAGAGTTCCACAGTAGTGATCACTCTGTGTAAGTCTCATAATTCCATGATGGAATTTCCATCTTAAGATTTCATAGTCACTAACCGCCGCCCAATAAGTATTTTCTATATAATAGGTGTGAGTTCAATTCTCACTGTCCCCCTTAATTTTTCCTTACCTTTTCTAACAAGTGCTTCATTATATTATTATTTTTTTCAAATATATATTAAGAGAACTAAATTAACTAGGATGTATTGCAAATTGCAAAACATGATTCTTTTCTCCAAAAGTAATTGATATCTCGCTTTTTCATCATCATTACATAAAAATATTATCTTAGACAAATGAATTTTAGTTCCATATATAAATATATAAGTATATATGTATCCATGATAATGCAGGGCCTGCTCGTCTACAAGAAAGCATATCACAATTTTCTACAACGCACAAGCTGGAGAATGTGATATATCTGAAGTGCAGGTAAGCTAATTTTTCTATATTAATCAGCCATTGATATTTTCTCATTCAAGAAACTGAACTTGTTCTTTCTTCTACTGATGAATTCATAAGTACACATATCTTGCTTTCTGATGTTGTTTTTTTAATATTAGTAATTCTAAAGTTGTTTAATTCGATTTGTTATTGGATTCTGTGAAGCATAGGCCTTAGCCATCTTATGGCATGCAAGACAAGTAAAATATAATAATGGGCTGTCCCTGAGAAAATCCCTACAGAGGTTTCTGCAAAAGAGAAGAGAAAGGAGGATTCAAGCAGCTAATCCATACTAGCTAAAAGAAATGATATGATGTTGGTGATAGGCGAATTCAGAATTGAGAATTTAGTTATCTAGAATGTGTATGATTTTGTGATATGCGGATAGGTCACTAATTTTTTTCTGCATATGTATCTGCATTTCCAACGGGAACAGTGATTTCAGCTGAATTTACCGAACTAGCTATATATGTGTTGATTCCTAATTATCGAAATTTTGATTCTCTCGTCCTAACTATCAAAATTTCATCAATATGGATTGGGTGGTTGGATTACCTTTATACTCGTGTGGTAATTGATAATCCCTCTATCCCATTTATGTAGCACTTTTTGCTTTCCTAGATTCCAACTATATGAACTTTGACTAATATTTTAAAAGCTATTTTTCCATCATATTGACATGAGAAGAATTGCAGATTATAATATTTTTTATATAGTTTTTAAATATCCAATTTTAACTTTAAAATATGAAATTGATCTAATTTAATTTGGCTTCAAAGATTAGTCAAATTGACTTTCGATAAACAAAAAGTGCCATATAAATTGGGACATAGTGAATATTTAGAATGCAATTTTCATCGTAATCTTTTTTATTTTAAAGGACAAAATCTTTTATGACTAATATAATATTGGAATTCAAATAACCAAGTGTCATGTGGAAGTTAATTAACAAACCTTGAACAACAATAAATAAAGCAACAAAAAAAATATCGTACATAAAAGAGACACAATTCGTCAATTGAATTATGTTATACTCAAAGAGTTACTCCGTTGTTGTAGCATCGTCAGTTGTCTCCTCTTCAGAATTACTAATCTTTTTACTCTTTGTCTCCTCCTCAGCAACCTCAGCAGGGCTAACTTGAACACTTTCAATCAACTCTTGAATTTCTTGAAAACACTCATAATTATTCAAATAATTAGCTGCCAACACCTTAAAACTTTCAATTGTCAGGTAAGACATGTGAATATGCACGTCCATTCGTCCAGGTCGCAACAGAGCTGGATCAAGCTTCTCCTTATGATTCGTCGTAAATATAATAACCCTCTCATCTCCAATACTCGACCATAGCCCGTCTATGAAATTTAGTAATCCACCAAGTGTAAGCCTATCTTGATCTCGTGAACGAGAATGACCATATACTGCGCGATTTTTAGTTCTATCTGGCAAATCAATGCTACAATCAATGTCTTCAATGACAAGTATAGACCTATTTTTGGTGCTCATCAACAACCTTCTCAAATCCGCGTCGCTCGTTATGTTAGAAAACTCTAAATCATAAACGTCAAACTTTAGATAATTAGCAATTGCTGCAATCAAACTTGATTTCCATGTTCCTGGCGGTCCATATAATAAGTATCCTCTTTTCCAAGCTTTTCCTACTCTCCTATAAAAATCTTTCCTCTTTAAAAACCTATCAAGATCCTCAATTATGGTTCTAATGCTAGTGTATCAAAAGTTGAAGGATGCTCAAGATTGACTGAATCCCAAAGTTTGGAATTATAAGTATGACCATTGGCTAGAGAATGCAACTTAACAACTTTTTTCTCATGAGACATGTCTTTGGCTTTGTTGAGTACAAAAGGGATGTAACGATTCATGATTTTGTCCTTGTACTGCTTGTTAAAGCTTAGCTCAAAGTAACGTTTCTCGTTAGCAAACATACCAGTATCATAATCATCTTTTGTAATAGTCTTTTTCTCAGCATTGTGAACAAATCTCCAAACCAATTCCATCCCGTCAAAGGAATCAGTAATTTTCCCACAATTGGCGAATTTAACGTTCACTTTCGGGCTTTTAGGCCTTTTGCTAACGTTGAAATTCGGGGCTGGTTTTGGCTGACAAGTAGATTTCAGCAGCGGCATAGACTTCGTTAGTAACAAAGCCTTCTTTTTCTTCAATAGCAAGAGTTATGTTTGATGAATGAGGACGAAAATAAGTAAGGATTTTGGAGATAATGTCGTTCTGGATTTGAAGAGGAATAACTTGATTCAGAATTGTCTTAAAAAGGGTGATTGTAGCAGACTATGAGGCATAGGCCTGGAATATTGACGAGACTGAAGGCATTCTCATCATCTTTTTACACAAACCTTCAGAACTTCGTAATACTTGGACGAGCCCTGCTATGTGAACTATTTATACTGAGTACTTTTGTTTTTTTAGCTACGATTCCTACTGCAAAAGGGAGTGAATTTTCCTTTTTTACACAAGGAAAGAAAGGGGTCGTCAATTTTATGCCAAACTTTAGTGGAGGAATCTCATCTAATTAAGTTATTTGACTTGTGTTTGATACATATATATATATATATATATATATATATATATATATATATAGTGTAGCCATAATGAGTTATATTATAGTGGTGTTATGTGTTTTTACTCAAAATTATATCAAAATCTTTTCAACAATTACCTACCTTTTCATCCCCCATTTATTTTAATTAAATAATAAAAATGGTGAAAAATATTAAACAGTTATTGTAGGGTGAAAAATCATTTTTCCTCCAACTTTGTATCACACACATCTTCCCTTAATATTTCAATTGAATGAATCTAATGCCTATTTCACCCTTCAGATTATGACTCTTTTCACTTTTTAAATTTTTAAAATCGCGGTAAGTTATCTCTTTTTAAATCTATGTTATGAATGTGCCTATAGAACACATCACGTGTTATGTAAAACTTACATGTTTGTATTGAAAGAGAAAAATGGACGAAAAATATTTTTGTCATTCATTGGTTCTTAAAATATTTTAAACTTTTGTTTGTTCAAATAAGAACTTTATCTTTGTCTACATTAAGAGAGTATTAGATTTATCAAATCGGAACTAATTCCTTGATTTGCTTTTCCGCTATTATTGTTATTATACCAATGAAATAATTTTTATTATGCTATTCAATTTTTGAAACTACTAACTCTAATTTGGACTCATGCATGAAGTAAAATACTCCCTATTATAACATTCTTCATTTCCAAACTTAAATTCTGATGGGTTTTCAATGTCTTTGTCTTATGTTTTGATGATCTAACAAACTTACTATCAAAAAATCAGATAGGGAACCTAACACACTTGGTACACATTACAAATGAACGGATTCCAGCCAGGACTTCAGCTAATGTAAACTGCTGCAAGTGTAGAAAATAGAGAAACAAGTCAAGGACCTGATCCCTTGTGTTTCCCTAACAGCAATACGAAAGTCAACCGTGCACAGCTGGAAAGTGACTGCCACAGAAACAGTGCACACAGTGCAGCAGTTCTGCAGTCACTTGCCCTTTGACCTACCAAGTGCTTACATCATTCAAGTGATGTCATCAAGGGTATACTAACAAGAGTATTATAACAAAACATCACTTGAATACTTGAGAATTCACTTCAAGCATTCAAGTCTTCTACAAACAGTGAACTTAATTCTCAAGAGCTTGAAGAACAAAGTTAAACGCTACTACGGACCAGTTCCTAAATCGAGTATTCTGTTGTCCTTAGTTGAGTTGTAACTTTGTGATTGTTCTTATTTTAATTCCTAAATTGCTTAGCTAGAAGCATTGCTTAGGAACCCCTTTGTAAAACCATAAACTTTCTAAGTTTGTGTTGGCTAGAGTTAGTCATAAGTTAAAGTCTTTGTAACTAGTGAGTGACAAAGTGGCTTGTGGTAAGTGTATCACAAGTTAGTCGAGTTGAAGTCTTTTTAATAGAGTCATTACAAAGTGATTTGTAATAGAGTGTTTACAAGGTAGAAGTTGAAAGCCTACAAGTGTAGGTCGTGGTTTTTGTCCCCTTCAGTGGGATTTTTCTACGTAAAAATCCCGTGTCTTATTTACTTACTGTTTCATTAGTGTTCTCGGTGGAAACTCATAGAGGAACAGGTACTCTATAGTTTGGTGGACTCATGTAAACTAATAATTGGTATCAGAGTAGGTCCCTCATATCAGGCATTACCTAGGAAGGATTCGTATGGCTGCTCCACCAAATTTTGAAGAAGGTCAATCTACGTACAGACCACCCAGGTTCATGGGCAATACTATGGGTGTTGGAAAACAAGAATGCATGATTTTATCATGGCTGAAGATTTTGAGTTGTGGGATGTCATATATGACGGTCCTTACATCCCAACAAAGGCTCTTGCAGAACTTCCATTCTCAATGCTAAAAACCAGAAAAGAATGCACCGACGCAGAAAGGAAAGCCGTGGAGAAAAAATTTCATGCCAAAAAGATTTTGGTATGTGGAATAGGACCTGATGAGTACAATATAATTTCTGCTTGTGAAACTGCAAAGGAGATATGGGAAGCTCTACAAACAGCACATGAGGGAACCACTCAAGTAAAGCAATCTAAGATTGATATGCTCACTACCGAGTATGAACCCTTTAGGATGAAGGATGATGAATATATTCAAGATATGCACACAAGATTCACCTCCATCATAAATGAGTTACACTCACTTCGTGAAACTATTCCTAAGAACAAGCTAGTGAGGAAGATTCTCGGTATCCTGCCCAGTTCTTGAGAAAGCAAGGTAAATGCTATTACTGAAGCAAAGAACCTGCAGGAGCTGACCATAGACGAGCTGGTTGGAAATCTGAAGACCTATGAGATAAAGAGGAAGATAGACATTGAAATAAGAGAACCAAAAAAAGAAAAGAACATGGTACTCAAAGCTGATAGCAATGACTCGAGTGAGGAGGACAGTGACATGGCTTACTTAACCAAAAGATTTCAGAAGATGGTCAGAAGGAATGGAGGAATACTGAAAGGGGCAACTCCAGCAAACCAAAGAACTATGATCTCTACCATAAGTGTGGAAAGCCTGGATACTTCATCAAAGATTATCCTCTACTGAAGCAAGAGTACTCCAAGTACAACCCTGAGAAAGCAGCCAAGAGGAACCCAGTTCCTGACAAGGACTTCAAGAGGAAGAGATCTGCTGACATTGTGGTGAAACAAGCTCTTGCAGCATGGGGACACTCCTCTAGTGAGTTTGAAGATAAAGTTGATGCAGGTGACAACTCCATAATGGTAGTTGAAAGTGAGGAAAATGAATATGATTCAATATTTGCTTTGATGGACAAATCAGATGATGAAGACGATTACAAAAGTGAGGTAAATTTCAGGGATGTTCAGAGAAATCTGAAATCCTACTCTCCTAAGAAACTCGTGACTTTAGCTAGTGTATTGATTGATGCCTATCATAGTCTTGTGGAGGATAAGGAT